TTTAAGGAAGCCCATCAAGGTAGGAATACCATCGTGGAACACATTCTGAAAAGGTTGCTAAATAAACAATCATCTTCTATTTTTATTAAAATGATAGCTTTAGATCATTCTTTTTCATCCCTCCAAAATATGCAACAGGTCTAATTTATCTCCAGATACTAGAATTTCTCTCCTTACTATTAAAAAACCCTGAGAAAAGGCCATTTTGAAGAAAATAAAGTTTCTGTCTTTAAAAGCAGAATAATAAAACATTATTATTTTGATATACTCAAAACTAATTGTCTTGATGCTCAGTGCCTTTCTGTCTTTTTAAATCCTAAATTCATGAATTTATATTCTTCCCTTGGAATTAAAAGTCTCAAAAACACTAACACTGTGCTTATAATTGACTGGTTGTGTTAAAGGTGACAAATGTTCTTGTGTGTCTTAAAAAGAACTGAAATATTGTATCACATTTTGTCCCAGGACTTCTGTGCAGCTTCTTATTAGGCTTCTCCCTCCCCAGCCTTTGGAATTCTCTTAATGTCAGAGACATTAACTTCGAGGGTAAGAAAGTAAGTCTTAAGAGGCTTGTAGTATTTATTCTGAATTTACTGGACAACTAAATTGGATGAAGGTTAACATCCTAGTTATATAAAGTGTACTTCTTGTTAGTGTTAATGAAAGCTGTGTATACAGTGGAGAGAAAACATACTCCTCAAATCAATAAGCAGATAGAAACCATGATAGATTTTGTATGAAAAAAAGCAATGTCACAGGCTATTAGGATATTTACGTGAGGGGGAAGATGCTGTGTTAGAGGACTAAATCTAAAAGGAAAGACGGGTATTGATTGTAACCTAACCAGGTACCATAAATCCACAGCAGCGCTGCCTCGGCCCCACATAATAAATGGCATTCATTAAATTTGAGTTTAATGCAAACTCAAATTGCCCTAGGATCAGGGAGGCCAAACTGTTTTACTCTTCTCTGCAAAGTCTAATCTTTCTATCCAAACAATAATTTAGGAAAAAAATTTTAAAGTCTATGACTCTCTCTTGGCCTCCCTACATACTGTCTTTTTCTATCTGCTTAGCATTAAGTAATTTATCTTAAAATTTCAGGCCTCCACATTTAAACCTGGCTGAATTACCTGTTTTGGAAGTGGACAATAAAGATGCCCTTCAGGGGAGTCTGTTTCATGGGAGACTGGCAGCCTTTAAAGAGAATAGTGCTACCTGGCTGCCCAGAGAGCTCAGGTTCCAGTTTCATGTCTGACAGCAGCCTTTGTGCCCTCTGCCAAGTCACTTTCTTACTTCTGTGGCTTTGCTTTTCTTCTCTGTTAGAAAGGTGACCACTAGCCTGATGTTTCAGATGGGTCCTCATTGACTAGTCCCCTTCTTCCATGAATTTGAGTCACAGAAACATTTTTAGCTTAACAAATTACTATAAGGTAAATACTTGTGTAATGGCCAGTCCGGTCAGGAAATAGGACTTTGTGGGACACCCCAGAAGCCCCTCCCTGGGTCACATCTCAATCATAACTCCCTCTCTTCAGAATAGCCACCGGCAGTCCTCGTTTTACATGGAGCTGTGATGCTATACAGAAAATAGTGCATGCTGAAACCCGGTAGGCTGTCTTATAATCAGTGGGGGAAATTGAGATTGTTTGGGGACCTTTAAATGTTTGACCAAAATGTTAAAAACCCTCTTACTGTCTGTTATATAGGGAAATGAAAAAAATACTAAAATTTAGTACACTGTAAATTAAAACAATAGCAACATTGAGAATAAAACTTTTATTTCTCTTGTAAAATCTCATCAAGAGCAGTTTAGTTTGACAGAAACAGACTCACATAGAAAACTAATTTATGGTTACCAGAGGGGAAGGGCAGGGAATGGGGTATAAATTAGAAGTTTGGGATTAGCAGATACAATCTACTGTATATAAAATAGATAAACGACAAGGTCCTACTGTTTAGGACAGGGAACCATATTCAATACCTTGTAATAAACTATAATGAAAAATAATATGAAAAAGAATATATATATGTGACTGATTCACTTTGCTGTACACCTGAAACTAACACAACATTGTAAATTAACTATACTTCAATTAAAACAAAAAGAGCAGTTTGGTTTGCCTTTTTCCCATCCTATCACGTATGATACAGAACAAGCATCTTTTCTATGCCTTGATGAACTTCCATACTTCTGTTGAGGTTTGCATTAGTTTTATCCTGCATGCTTTCAATGTTGTGAAGTATCTACAGGAGTTCCTTCAGTGTGAAATTTCTGCAGCATCATTTCTTCATCCTTGTCATCTCAGCGCTTTCCTCATTTATGACGATCAGTTCCCTCATTCAGTTACCCTGGCTGCACATCTAAATTCAGGTAGTAGCTGTGTCAAATTTCCCATGGTCAACCATTCTCCTGTGACTCCATCGTATTCCATTCAAATGTCACTTCTAGTGTTAATCACTTTTCGTTTCTTTGCTGGCCAGTTACCTCTTTTAATATTTCATTTGGGTAAACTGTTATGTGGGTTTTTCACTAGGAGACAAGGAGACAACACAAAAACATGGTTTGCTGTCTGTGGGAACTGAATAACAAATGAGGAGTGACTGATCACTGACAGACTTTGAAAGATGTGATGTGACTGGTCACTGACTGTGATGCACATCTATTAATTACAAAGCAATTTGTAGACTGGAGAGCATTTAGTGAAGTTTGTACCTCATGCAGTTTCTCAAAGTTAGTATACCATGGTAAGTGAGATTTGGACTATATCGTTGGAGGACTGGTGTAATTTAAACTGTGGGACCTGAAATTGTGCACATTAGAACCATATAAGGTAAAGACTGCCTGTATTATTTTGTTACAGCACTCACTTCTTTATATATATATATATATATATATATATATATATATATATATATTTTATAGTTCTGTTATCCAGTTACGCACCTTTAGGCACTGTGGTTTAGTATTGCTCCTTAAAGTGTTTTTGGTATGTCTTCCGAGTAGTTGTTTTTTTTTTTAATCTATGGGTTTCCCTTCTGTATTTGTTTGCTAGCGCTGCTATAACAAAGTACCATAGACTGGATAGCTTAAATAGAAATTTATTTTCTCACGGTTCTGGAGGCCAGAAGTCTCAGATCAAGATGTTGGCAGATTTGGTTTCTCCCGAGACCTCTCTCCTTGGCTGGCAGATGGCCGCCTTCTCACTCTGTCTTTATGTGGTCTTTCCTCTGTGCATGTGAACTCCTGGTGTCTCTGTCTCTTCTTAAAAGGACAGTAGTCCTGTTGGATTAGGGTCTACCTTAATGGCCTCATTTTAACTTTATTACCTCTTTAAAGGCCATGTCTCCAAATATAGCCACATCCTTAGTACAGGGAGTTAGCGCTTCAACATATGAATTTAGGGGGTGCACAATTCAGCCCATCACATTTTCTCTTCCTTTCTTTTCTTTACTACTTATTTATCAAAATAGTTGGACTTTTTGACAACTGGTTACATAAAACATAAACTGTAATCACATAAACTTTTCATTAAAGAGTCTGGATCATTCATGAAGGACATCATTGACAATTAGGCCCAGGTTATGTTGGGTAAAATTATGTTCTAGTTACTAAGGCTGTATAACAAATCACCCCAAAATTTGGCAGGTTAAAACAGCAATAATTATTTGTTCTTTCTCACCGTCTGTTAGTCAGGAATTGGAAAGTAACCCAGCTGAGAGGGTCTGACTCTGGTCTTCCATTAAGATTGCAGTCAGATTTTAGCTGGGGCCACAGTCACCTGAAAGTTTGACTGGGGCAGGAGGGTCTACTTTAAGATGGTTTACTCCCATGGCTGGCACGTTGGGGATGGCTGCTGGTTGGAGGCCTCAGTTCCTTAATACATGGCTGCTTGAATGTCCTCATGGCACAGAGCTGCTTCCCTGGGAGTGAATAATCCAAGAAGCCAAGACAGAAGCTGCAATGCATTGTCATTTTGACCATGTTCTATTGGTCATGTAGATCCAGTCTTGATACATTGTGGAAGGGGACTCCAGAAGGGCATGAATATAGGAGCTATGGCTTATTGGGAGCCATCTTGGAGACTGGCTGGCATAGATTAAATGGGTGAAAAGTGTCTTACTTTGGGGAAATCTGCTTGCAAGTTTCTACCTTCAAATGCTTGCTTACCTTACAGGTAAGCAAGTCATCAAAAGTAAACATTACTAAATGCTAGCTTTCTACTTCACACCTGAAAAAAAACTGGTGATGATTTTGTGCTATACCTTTATGAAGGAGGAGAATATATGTGAAATTCCACTGAGGGATTGTGGTCTTGCCTAATTCTTGGTCTTTGGTGTGCCCTCAGGTTCAGCACCATGGGCAGCTACTTCTGCTGCCCACCTAGGGTCCACCTTTTGACTTGCAAAGAGTGGTGGCAGAGCAACCTAGGGCTATTTAGGAGGGTGTGCACTTCTGTGAATATAGGTGCCTTGTGTCCTGTTGGTTCACAAATTTCATCCTCATTTGTCTTTCCTTTTTCTGGTAGTCTCTGTTCTTCTAAATTGCCATGCCTTTAAGTTCATCATCTCAATTTTTATAAATCCAGCAATTGCTCAGATGAGCCTCAAGTTAATTAAAGTCAGAGAACTGGACTCTGCAATGTCCATTCCTGGTCTAGTGCTCCAGCCTCTATTTCTCTTGTCATCAAAAGATCATTCATCTATCCAAGCAGCCTTGTAACAGTTTGGGTTGTTTTTATTTAGATATGATGACAATTATAAGCAGGTGTATTAGGCCCTTTCTTTACTTCTTTCCATGAATATTTGTCCACTTAATTATTATGGACAAAGAAAGCAGAGAATATGTAAGTATTTCTAGTGTTTCTTGAACTATGCTGCTACTGTATAAAACTGATTAATTATTATCCTTAGAGAGCATACCTTCTAGGAAATAAATCATTTTACTTTTGATTCAAATAGTTCACTTTCTTTTGTAGCAGCCTTTTAAAAGTTATCTTAGTGTGCTTTTCCTCATATTTTCTTTCTTTTTTTTATATATTTATTGAAGTATAGTCAGTTTACAATGTTGTGTCAATTTCTGGTGTACAGCACAGTGCTTCAGTCATACATGAACATGCATATATTTATTTTCATATTCTTTTTCACTGTAAGTTACTACAAGATAACAAATATAGTTCCCTGTGCTATACAGCATGAGATTGTTGATCTATTCTATATATATCAGTATCTGCAAATCGCTAACTCCCAGTTTATCCCTTCCCACCTGCCTCCTCCTCTGGTAACCACAACTTTTTTCTTTATGTCTGAGAGTCTGTTTCTGTTTTGCAAGTAAGTTCATTTGTCTTTTTTTTTAGATTCCACATATGATATTTTTCTTTCTCTTTCTGGCTGCTTCACTTAGAATGACAATCTCCAGCTCCATCCATGTTGCTGCAAATGGCATTATTTAATAGTTTTTTATGGCTGAGTAGTATTCCATTGTGTAAATATACCACAGCTTCTTTATCCAGTCATCAGTGGATGGACACTTAGGTTATGTTGAGCATCCATATGGTCTTTCCTTAGAGCACACGAGATATGAGAATAATGGGACCTGAAAGATATGATCACAGAGACAGGAAACTTGCCCGACAGTGATTTGCTTGGATAATCATGTAGTTGTCATCAGTGAATGATAAATTAATTTTTTTAAGAGAAGGAGAATATGGACAATGTTTATAAGCCAAACCAACTTAGATAAGCAATGATTAAAATCACAGGAGCTTCAGAAATGCTTTATAGATTAACAGGATTTAGAAAGTGTACTTTTTTTTTTAGAAGTAGACATTTTTTAAAATTATTTTTCTCTCTTGAGTTTTCTGTAATGTTGGCTAGTTGGGATCATTTCAGAATGAGAGACAGTGGAGGAGTAGAGAAAGAAATGAAAAATTATCTCAGAGTCACATTATCTACCCTTGCCGGATTGGACTAATGGCATCTTATCAGTGTTCTGGAATTCACAAAGTGGAGTGTTAGTTCCAGAAAGTTCATATATACCTTGGAAGTTACGGAGTTTCTTGGAACTGGGATCAGCAGTTTCAGATATCACAGATGCCTTTATGTGAAGCAGGAGGCTTTATTGGAAATGACAGAAGAACATGTGCTAAGGAACAAGGAGAATATGTAAAGGAGGAGAAGCAAGCTGAACGGGGGAGGGAGACAGTGAGTGGTACTGAGACTATGCTAATTGAGAGTTAGTTGAGAGAATAGAATTGGTATGAGATGAAATTTCATATATTGGATTGCAAACCTGTGAGTATTTATTATGCGCTGTTTGTAGGAAGGTACGTAGTTACACAAGTGGCTTAGCAGTATGAAGAAGTATGAGATTCATGGCTTCATAGTAAATCAACTTATGTCTGATGTAAAGCTGATGCTAGTACTTTAGGATTTAAATTTTGTTTTTACCAGCCCACATTCACTTATAACTCAGTATCATTTGTTAAGTAAGGAGTTTTGGGTTCATTCATAAAGGAGAATTAGGAGCATTATTTAAGTATGATGTGGATCTAAGCCCCTTAATGTATTATAGTTTGATAGCACTTTGCACAGCTGCAGAAATGAGTGCGGTATCCAATCCAAACTCTTGTGGATAGAATATTAGAAACGATATTATTGAATCTTTACACCCCTGGCAGTTTGTCTAATAAATTGAGTAGTTGTCACACTGAGTTTCATACAATTCATACCATAAAAATGCAACTAAGAATTAATGTATTTATATTTTACCTCACACCACAGGCTCATTACAGGTGACTGGTTCCTAGTTTCCAAAATGCAGTGAAAGAAGTTTGCGGGGTTTGTGTTTGTTTGGGGTCAGGCTATTTTGCAGAGTCAAGGTTATTGAAATTTATTTGTGGCAGAGATGTGAATAATGAACAGTTCTTTCTAAACATGCAGTACAAGCTCCCTTTTGGCTTCTGTGTGTCTGCCTTCGGAACAAAGATGTCTCTGTGCTGCGGGGTAAAGACCTGGAGTAAAGTGACTGCCTGCTACAGGCTACAAGCACATATAGAACATGGAACCACAGGAACTCATTGTGATGACCGGATTGCTTATGAAAGACAGATACTCTGGAGTCCTCATTGGAGTGGGGTTCATGAGTCTCTATTCTGTCTTTCATATTTCATGTGTAGCATTTTGTTTTAGAGACAGAATAAGGTCTGTTGGATAAAACAGTAAGATTGTCTCTGGACAATTTCTATAACATACTTTCTGTTTTAACTGATCTCTTGTTATTTGAGCCTTTTATTTTTAGAGACATTTTACATTTATCTTTTTTTAGTGGGGAGATAATTAAGGTTTGGTTTTTTTTTTTAATGGAAGTGCTGGGAATTGAACCCAGGACCTCGTGCATGCTGAGCACATGCTCTACCACTGAGCTACCCCCTCCCTGCTTATTTTTAGAGACATTTTAAAACACAGAAAAGTATACAGGCACCCTATATATTGACCACCAACATGAGTTTTTAGTTTTTAATGTCTTCATGATGAGAACTTAATTTCCTGTTTCACAAAATATTGTGTTCAGCATGAAATCTTTCAATTTGTGAGAGATAGCACTGGAAAAGTGAAGGACATTGATCCCTTCTAAGATCAGCCTTAATTTATAGCTGTAGCTTCTAACTTTACTTTAGTGCTTTGTAAACATACCAAATCCCAGTACTTAACATTAGTAATAAATTGTGCCTTGTTTACTTCTAAGATGATCTGGGGCTTTTGGTGTAATTGATTGGATGTCTGTTTTTGCACATCTGCAAATAGTTGTAAGTTATATACTGTCAAAGCCATTCCAGGGTGGTGAGGAAGGAAGAGAAAAAGAGGTAGATCCTAATCCTCTTTTTAAAATGGTCTTTTCTTCTTCATATAGAGGATTTGGGTAATTCTGAGATGTCAGCCACTTGATGTGGTTGGTTTTGTTCATTCGTTGTGCTAAGTGCTTGGCCCATTCTGTCTGTAGACTCATGCCCTTCACTTCTGGGAAATTCTTCTATCATTTTTTTGGTAATCCTCCTGTCCTCCTGTCCTCTTACTGTGTTTTGTCTTTCAGAATGTCTGATAAAGCAGAAGAACCTATTGGATTGACCTTTTTTTTGCTTAACTTTTCTGACTCTATTTCTGCTTCTGTCTTTTGTTTCCATTTCCTGGGAGATTTTTAAAATTTACTTTCATTCCTTCTATTGAATTAAAATTTTTTTAGTCAATAACACTTTTATTTCCAAGAACTCTCTTTTGTTCTCTAATCATTTTTTTCATTATAACTTGTTCTATAATACTTCTGTTAATCTCTCTGAGGGTACGAATTCAAGTTTTTTTTGTTTTTAGTTCTTGTCAGTTACCAGCATTATCTCAATTTACTTTCGGATTACTTCTTTTTATTTACTGTGGTGTCTCCTTTTTATTTTGGAAACTTTCCTTGAATGTCTGGTGATCCCTGGTTTTGTGTTCATGTTTAAGATTAAAAGGCAGTAGGGGGAGGGTATAGCTCAGTGGTAGAGTGCATGCCTAGCATGCATGAGGTCTTGGGTTCAATGCCCAGTACCTCTGTTAAAAATCAGTCAATCAATCAATCGATCGATCAATCAATCAATCAAACTACCTCCCCCATTAAAAAAATAGAAAGTAAAAGATTAAAAGGCAATTGGAGGCTCTGTGTGCAAAGTTGTAGCATATATCAAGTCTCGTCTTAGAAACTATTCAAATTCTTTAGAGAGGAATCTTATAATGTTGGGGGGAAGAAAAGGAAGCCATACATAAATTAATACAAAATGGTATCAGTTTTACAAATTGAAAAATAACACTAAACGATATATGGTTTGTGGATATATACATATGTGACAAAACCATCATAAAGGCAAAAAAAAACTAAACACAAAATTCAAATAGTGCTTACACTTTTAGGATGTGATTGGGGTGGAGCATAAAGAATTTCACTGTTATAAATTACATTCTATTTTTTAAATTGTGAAGTGAATTTTTTATGATCTTCATGCCTTACCTGTTTGTAATATATTACATACAGTCTTTTATGTGTGTCAAATGTTTCATAATAAAATGAGAACATTTGAGGGAAACTCCCTGTATCCCATTTTGTGAGAGTAGATGCTTGACTGACAGTGTTCTGTGCCTAGAATGGGGGTGTGGTGGTGGTGGTGGGACCTACCCTTTCAGCTCAGTATGCAGTTTGAGAAGTGACAGGGCTAAATGAATCAGCATAAACAGGTTGGTTATGCATGATTCCTTTGGAAATGTTCTTGCCACCACGCTCCCTGAAGTCCTGATGTACTCTGGTCACAAATTCTTCCAGACACCATCCAGTCTTCCCAGTGATGTATAAGACATACTTCTGCCAGTCCCTGATGACCTGCTGGTCTTAAATTCCATCCTTTGTCTTCTGCAAGGTGCCTCAGGCACTTTTGCAGCACCTTTACATCTGTGATTTACACATCTCTGTGAGCCATTCTGGGTCAAAACTGTTCAGCTGCACATGAAATAAAGCAGAAAGAAACCTCAGTGGAGTAAAAGGGCGGCTCAGAGAAAAAGCGCGGCATTGTGATAAGTGCTCATTGGTGAGAGCTCGCGGAAGAGGCATGTCCAGATGTGCATCTTCTCTCGGCTGAGTCTTCAGCACCGGAATGATTCACGTGTGTGGGTGTGTATGCATAGTTTTTAATATTAAAATGTTTGAGACAGAAGGTCATTATGAATCAGTGTGTGGGCACTGCTAATCAGGTACAACCTGTAGACTTTCCGTTTCTCCCCAGTTTGTTTGTGTCCACCCAGTACCAAGTGGTTCTAAGTCCCAAACCTCAGCAGGCTTTTGCAGGGCAAAATTGTCCCTTTCTGCAAGTTTCCCACCCTGTAAACACCAAGCTGAGGCTTCTTCCCCTCCCCTGATGCAGCAGTTGCCACTTCTCTACTGACTTTCCATCTTTCGTAGCAGCTGAAATCTCTCCTTTGATTTTGGCCACTCTGTGTTCTGTTCCTTAATGTGGCTTGTCTTTATTCCGTTTCTCTCACGTTAGTGGGGTCTTTGGAGGGAGAGGAGGTAGAGGAGATGTTTAATAAGCTTTCTTTTTTTCTGCCAAGAAATGAAAAAATATTTTGTTAAAAATTCTTTTGTTTAATTGAAGTATAGTTGATTTACAATATTATATTAGTTTCAGGTGTACAACACGGTGATTCAATAAGCTTCCTTTTTTGTATATATATTTTTATTGAAGTATAGTCAGTTTACAATGTTGTGTCAATTTCTGGTGTATAGCATAATGCTTCAGTCATACATGAACATACATACATTCATTTTCATTTTCTTTTTCACCATAATTTACTACAAGATATTGAATATAGTTCCCTGTGCTATACATAAACTTGTTTATCTATTATATATATATATAATATATATATATATATATATGTTAGAATCTGCAAATCTCAAACTCCCAATTTATCCCTTCCCACCCTCAGTAAGCTTTCTTAAATCAGAAACCAATGTTAACATTTTGTCTCCCCCTCCATCTTTTTTTCAACTTCATTAAGGTAACATTGACAAGTAAAATTGTAAGATTTTTTATTTTGGTGAGAGATTCAAAGTGTACAGCATGATGATATACATAAACATGGTGAAAGGATTCCCCCCATCAAGTTAATGAACATATCCATCACCTCACATGTTTACCTTTTTTTGTGTGTAAGAACATTTAGGTTCTACTACTCTCAGAAAATTTCAGTTTTACATGTTATCAACTATAGTCATCATGTTATACATTAGATCCTCAAGCCTTATTTATCCTGTAACTGAAAGTTTGTACCCTTTTACCGACCTCTCCTTGTTGCTCTCCTCCAGCCCTTGGCAACCACTTTTATACTCTCTGTTTCTGAGTTCAGCTATTTAAATATCTATTTATAATTTTAAAAAATTTAAGATTCCATATATAAGTGAGATCATGCAGTATTTGTCTTTCTTTGTCTGACTTACTTCACTTAGCATAATACCCTCCAGTTTCATTCATGTTGTCACAAATTTTCCTTCTTTTTTAAGATGAATTTATTCTACTTTATACACACACATGCACACACACACACACACACACACACACACACACACACACACACACACACTATTTTCTGTATCCATTCATCCATTAATGGACACTTAGGTTGCTTCCATACCTTGGCTATTGTGAATAATGCTACAGTGAATACAGAGTACAAATATCTCTTGAAGATGTTTATTTCATTTCTTTTGGATATATACCTAGAAGGGGGATTGCTGGATCACATGGTAGTTCTATTTTTAATTTTTTGAGGCACCTCCATACCGTTTTCCATAATGAGTGTCCCAATTTACATTCCTACCGGTAGTGGACAAGAATTCCCCACATCCTTGCTAATACTAGTTGTCTCTTGTCTTTTTAATGATAGCCATTCTAACAGGTGTGAGGCGGTACCTCGTTGTGGTTTTGATTTGCATTTCCCTGATGATTAGTGATGCTAAGCACCTTTTCATGTATCTATTGGCAATTTGTATGTCTTCTTTTGTATTCAGGTACTTTGTCTATTTTTAAATTGGGTTATTTGTTTTCTTGCTATTGAGTTGTTTGAATATTTTATATATTTTGGATGATTTGCAAGTGTTTTCTCCCAGTCCATGGGTTGTCTCTTCACTTTCCTTTGCTGTGCAGGATCTTTTTAGTTTGATGCAATCCAATTTATTTTGCTTTTGTTTTCTATGCTTTTGGGGTCATATTGAAAAAAAATTATTGCTCAGACCAATGTTGAGATTTTCCCCTATGTTTTCTTCTAGTATTTTACAGTTTCAGTTCTTACATTTAAGTCTTTCATCTATTTTGAGTTGATTTTTGCATATGGAATGAGATAAGAGTCCAATTTTATTCTTTTGATGGGAATAATCAGTTTTCCCAACTTCATTTATTGAAGAGACTGTCCTTCCCCATCATGTGTTTTTGGCATCTTTGTTGAAGATCAATTGCAGATGTATTTCTGGGCTGTTTATTCTGTTCCATTGGTTTATATGTTGGTTTTTATGCCAGTGCCATGCTCTTTTAATTATTATAGCTTTTCAGTGCATTTTGAAATCACATAGTGTGATGCTTTTAGCTTTGTTCTTTTTGCTCAAGATCGCTTTGGTTATTTGAAATCTTTGGGGGTTTTGTATGAATATTAAGATTTTTTTTTGGATAAATCTTTATAATTGAAGGAGCTCATATTAACTAGTCTCATTCCTGGGTAAGGCAATCTTTTGTTAGGTTCACTTTTGCAAAAGAAATATATGATAATGTATATCTGTGTACTGGAGATATGGATCAACCTGATTTATCAGGTGGGTGTAAAACCACAAACCTTCAGTAATAGCAGCTTGTCTTTAATAAGCTCTGGGATAGCAGAATAAAATACTCCTTTATGAACTGTAACTGAGGAGAACTATTATTGGTCCCTGAAGTTAAAAAGCTGTCACTGTTCTTTAATAAGATAATTTCATCACTAGTGGTGATATTTTATCTAGTAGTCTAAATTCCTACTTCCACCATAGGGACCTTAACTTCTTTTTAACCTAATTAATGTCTAATTTTAGAAGAACAGATAGCTGCAGCTTGCTTTATACTGATTAGTAATATTTTTTCTCCTAACATACAGAAAACATTTCTTTAGTCCCTTGCAACTTGACCATCTGTGCACCCTGTATGATTCAAAGTGTTATCTACAAGCACTTACATCTGTCAGGCTTTTGTTTGGAGGCCAGAGCAAGAATGTCACATGATACGCAGGAAAGGGTCCTGTCGTCTTGCCTGTTCACATGTGACACATTGTACTTTGTCAAGAGTCTTTTGTATTTTAATAATACCTTTCCAAGAATTTAGCATTGCTTCCATCTACACTACCTTGTAACTTCCTTAGGGGAAAAATAGGATACATTTGTATTTGTGAGGGAAATGGAAAAGACTTTGTTTTATACTGGAGTGTGAGTTACTATGTCTGGATAGACTTAACTTGCTGGAGCCAGAAGTGAACTCAGGTTCTGCTGCTTGTCATTCAGAGTCACTATTTGAGAAGCAAGGATTGGTAGAAAAAGAAAGATGCATTATTCAGGAAGCTGGCAACCTGGGGAGATGGTGTACCAGCACCCCCAAAACCAACCTGCAGTTGTTGGTTAGAGGACAAAAGGTTTAAAAGGGGGGTTTCAGGGGTGCACAGGAGGTGTGCCTATGCGCAGAACAGCACAGTCAGACAGCTCTGAAAGTCATCTTGAAATTGGTCATGTGGTGATCTGATCAGTGTCATCGTGATTATTTTAAGTACAGTTGATCTTCACTTCCAGGGCTGGTTTGTTCCCGTTTTCTTGAGGCCAGTTCTTGGAATTGTGCAGCCACAGATTCCTTACTGCTCAAGATGGAGCAGCTTATATCATGGCTACAGTCTGGTCATCACGCAGTTAGCCCTTTCCCTTCAGTGGCAGTTTTAGTATCTGCAAAACAACTCAGGAATGTGTGTCAGACACTGTTATCTGTGTCCTTCAGGGAAGAACTAAAGATTCTGTGACTGTATTGTCTTAATCATCAACTGCTTGAGCCTGCTTTTTTGTGACTCAGGGGAAGCCTGGGAGACTACAGTTTTTGTACCAGAAAGAGACAGGGGGCATGGAAGGGCTTTTGTACCTGAGAGGGTCCTGCTCAGTTTTAAGACCTCTAGGAGTACTTTTATGTGGGGCTTACCTTGGCTTTTAGGACAGGAAAGAAATTTTCAGGGAATTTTCTTGGGCTAGATTGAGAGCAGAAGAGTGTTACCAATTGCAGTTTGAGATTTTGATATTGCTATGTGTTTGTGTGTATGTTAAGGGGAGGGAGAATGAGGAATAAATAGATGACTTTTCATATAATCTGAGTGAAAACCTAAAACTAAAAGGGACAACCTGGTGAGACAAGAGAAAACATCCGGCTTAATCACCTGTCTCTCAATATGCTCTGAAAATTCTGGCCTGCAAAGATCCTCTTTCTTTAAGAATTTGTAGTGTGTGTAATTATAGACTATCTGGCATTTTACTTTAAATTATTTTTTAAATGTGAGTCATTGCAAAATGGTTAAGAGATCAGAGTCTGGAGCTAGATCAGTTTAGGACAAATCCTGGCTTTATGACATACTAGCTGTGTGACCTTGGACTAGCTACTTAACATCTCTGTGCTTCAGTTTCCTCATATTTAAAATGAGGATAATAATAGTCTCTACCTTATTGTTTTGTTATGGGTCAAGTGCTTAGCCAGTAAAATTAATATATACTTGCTGTAGAAAAGTAGATAGTATAGAAATTAAAGATGATAAACATCTCCACCTGTAGGCAATCACTATTACTATATTGGTACACATCCTTATATATTTTTGTATACAACATTGAGATCATACGTTCCATGCTATTTTGTAACTTTTTCCCCTTAATAATACATCATGAGCATTTGCCCATACTTTTCAACATCATATCTAAAAGAAATCTATATCGAGTGGATTGGTATATTTTAGTTTATTAAACTGTTCCCATATTGTTGAAGCTTTAGGTGGCTTCCAGATTTTCATTTTTATATGTAATGTTTCAGTAAACATTTTTGTTCATTAATCTCACTCTTGAAGTTACTCTCCTTGAAAAGAAATGGAATGGCTAAATCAGAACATATGTTTTTATTTTTAAGGCTTTTGACACATACCGCCAAATTGCCTCCCGAAATGTTCCATAGCAATGTGTGAGAGTTTGTTTTCTTGCCCTCTTGTCAGCATGGATTATTCTGATTTTTTTTTACATTTAATTTTATAGGTAAAATTTTATCTTCATTGTTTGATTATGAACAAAACCGAACATTTGTATGTTTTAAGCTCTTGTATTTCTTTTTCTTCTCTGTATGTGAAATGCCTGTGAATTTCTTGTGCACTTTTCTGGGGGGGAAGTATTCACTTTCTTAAAAACTTTCTATTTGTAAGAGATCTTTATATAGAAAAGCTATTGATTGGCTTCATTAAGATTTTTTCCCCCAAGATGTAAAGTTTCAACAACTTTGTTATTGAATCTGATAATCTGAGGTAATTAAACTTCATCCGTAAGGTCTCTAATAGAAAAACTTCGAATCAATTGATATTTATGATATTGTATTACACAAGGCATATTATCTATAGACACAATAGGGAAGACTTTCTTTTTTTTCCCCTTCTGAATATACCAGATACTTGCTAGTGAGTTGATTTACTGTTTGGAGTTTGCTTTGTTGGTGGAATATACTTCATTCTGATTAGCTATTGCTAATCCTGTTTCATGCTATACTGATGACATCTTGATGGATTCCTCAGCTATTTCCTGGACACTGTCTTGGTATTTGAAGCTCTTACACTCAGCCACAGTGTTTGTGCCCTATATTGATCAAGGATTTGCTGGGTTAGCTCAAAAGTCAAGATGTGGGGTGGGAGGAGTATAGCTCAAGTGGTAGAGTGTGTGCTTAGCATGCACAAGGTCCTGGGTTCAATCCCAGTATCTGTTTTTAAAAAAAATTAAGTAACTAAACCTACTCCCCCACCAAAAAAAAACCCCTAAAAATAAAAAAGTCAAGATGGAAGGCCCACAGATTTTTGCAATTCTAGAGCTGAGGTCATAATGACTTGAAAAGTGGGACTCAGAGCAATTGGAACCATTGCCAAAGATGAATGCTTCCCTGATTCTCTTTGAAGCGGATCATAAGAGTCACTCTGTGTAGGGAAAATCCTTGTCACACAGGCCTCCTGCACATTTAACTTCTGAAAGCATGTTGGAGGACTCATTTATCATGCAGCATTTTGAGATTTGAGCATGAAACATATATTTTTATGAAAGCTGGAACTAAAGGGAATTCCTTTAGAATGAAGCTTGAAACTTTACTCATACCATCAAACACATTTTGGAATTTAAAACAGCTGTTAAAATTCCTGTTGTACTGTTTGTTGTAAAAAATTCCTACGGCAGCCCATCTTTCCATTCACTTTATTTAATTCCCAAGCTCCCCCCACTGCAGACCCCCCAGGACGTCTAAGGAGACACTGCTGATGGGCAGAAAAGCCTTCTAAAAAAGCACTAGGTGACTCATACCACATGTGTATGGCTTTTAGGTTTGACAGATGATTTTTTTAAATAGCTTACCCTACTGCTCTAAGGAGCTTTCTGAAGTTCTGGCAAGGAAGTCTAAAAATTCACATTTTACCTAATATAGGTGATAAGGAGGGTACTTATCTTGCCTGTCTGGATTTTCTTCTTGGAGTTTAATGGAATATTCTGTATTACCTATAATCATTTACTTCAAAGTGAGAACGGACTGTGGGGAATTATGTAAAATCTGTATGAATCAGTGGGGCAAAAATCAAGTTCGTACCAATATTTATAAATATTGAGATGTTATATATTTAGGCATGATAAATATGTTCTTTTTTGATGGTTGAACATGGAGGGAAGTTTGCTTAGAATTAAAATTTTTTAATTTTAATTTCTCTGTGTGGCTATGTCTTTCTAGCCAACCCAAGTGGTTTTGTAGTGTTTCTCTGGCCACTTAATCTGTATTTAGAATTTTTAGTAGTGTTTTCAGAAATTTTCTGAGGCATATCATTTTGTAAAAATTTGTGTTACCAAGTTGTTTCTTCTTGATTCTGCCTCCCTTAGCCTCTCCCTTCCCCACCTCCATCCTTCAACTCCCCCACTTCCCTCAGTTCCGGGTCTGTTTATTTTTTGCCTCATGAGTAATGATTGTAAATTCACTTCATTCTAATGAAGCACTAAGGCTGTCTCTCAGGTTTTGAATTTTCTTTAGGAGAATAGTTAATTATTAGCTCCTCACTTTCTTACACCCAGCACAAAAGTAAGTTACAGAAGGAGAAGACGAAGCATCTGTTTATAAAATGTGGCATTTGAGTAAAATTCTAAATGCAAAATGATTGACAGCAGAGCCTCAGAGAATCAGCTCAGCCTTGTCTTGAGGTTTCCCACGTCTGTAGCTGTCAAATGTTTCATGCTATGTGTACACTCCTACCGCCATGCTTTTCTTGTCACTCTCTACTTCTGTTGTCTCTGTTTTAATTCATGACTTTAGCTCATATCTCTTTCCATTAGTTTTTTCACTGGGCTTTCCCTGCCTCCACAGTAAAGTTCCTTCAATCTGTAAATCCAACAAGTAGCCGCTGGATTCATATGTTCTGAGCACCGTTAAGAGTAGGGTCCCTGCACTGCCCAGCCCTCCTAGAATTCCTCTTGCCTTATGGTTCAAGTCCTCAGCCTTTTCAAGCCTCTTTACTATAAGCTCTAGATTAATTTTCCAGTGTCATAATTGCTGCTTCTTGATCCCCAAATTCCCCCTGTCGATCTGACAAGCCTGCCAGCTCTTAAGCAGGCATTGCGTTTCCTACCACCCATCTCCGAGCAGAGAAATCTGACCCACCCTGGAAGTGGCACCATCTCCTCCAGCAGTCCCTTCCAGATCCCTCCTGTTGGCAGTGTTCCTCTGCATTCTGCAGCTGTGGTGTCACTCATCAGGAATTATTTTTATACTTGTAAACCCTTATCTTTCTTGCCTGCAGGTAGGGACCAGCTCCTCCATTCTTGGTTCCCCTGGGCACACTCAACCTGCTTGGCCTGTGTGCTCTCAGTCGTCTTTCATCCCCTGCTGGTTCTCTAACCCGTTAATGTTTTCATTTCTCCTATTGTAAAACAATAATTACCGCAAACTCTACCTTTACCCAGATTCCCCTCCTGCTACAACCATATCTCTCCCTTCTTGCCTCTGTGAACATCTTTTTTTTTTTTGATGGATGAGAATAGCTTTATTGATTTTCTTGGTAAACAAGCTCATTGGAGAAAAATACAAATAATACAGAATTTGAAGAGGGTAAAAGATCATCCAAAAATGCCATCACCCAGAGATAAATTGCCTTTCACTAAACATCCTGTCCCATTGCACACATAAGCATACACACACTCTTGTGCATGAGACACAATTTTATATCAATGAAATCACACTATACGTGATGTTCTGTAACCTGCTTAAAAAAAAATTCAGTAGTGTTTTGGGGACATTGTTCCAACTCATTTCGTGTTAATTCTCATCATTACTGTAAATGACTGTAAAGAACTCTATTGAATAAAAAATTATTTAATCTACCACGATGAGGACACTCGTTCTTTCCTGGTTTTTTGCTTGTATAACCAACACTTATGTTGCACTAGTTAGGGTTCTTCAGAGAAACCAAACCAAAAGGAGACATACACACACAGAAATTT